CAGACCACCAGACAAAAAAAAAAAGGAAAAAAAAAACACACGCTCATTTAAAGCACTAGTTCTTTTTTGCTACCACAGCACTCTCGACAATTACTTTCCAGCTCTTTAAAGTGCACACACAAAAACTATCTTTATGACAGCAGCATTTCCACCAATCCTGTTCGCTGTTATTTTTTTTCCCCCTCCTGCTTTCCTTTACTTCCTTCACCCAGAGACCATTAAACTAGATCCTTTCTAAAGGGCTTTAAGGCCTCTCTTGGCTAGCCACTTCTCCAAAGCCATGTCATGACTCTTTTTATGTTTTTAAATCAAAGTCCATGAAAGGTTAGGAGGGAGAAGAAGAAAGCTAAAAAAAAWTGGAATGGRTTTTTGTGTTTGTGGGTTGAAGAAAAAAACTTAGTTACAAACCYATATGGGCTCTTTCACATACACACGGACACCCTCACGTGCATGAGCTTAACTTGATATGGTACACGCTCTTTTGGCCTGTTCTGCTCTGCTGGGATTATTCTTYGTTTCTCTTCTGTCTCCCTTCTCACCTGCTGAGATTTACTGTAGATGTTCAACCTGCTCCCTGTCTCCCTTTTCTTTCTCTGTCCTTTTTTCAAGTACAAGTGYGCACACTGACTCTGTGGGATACACACTCGTGCGTCACAAACACTGGTTGGAGTAGAAGTCTGTTGTGATATTTTTYTTCCCTCCCCTCGCACACAGTTTTGATTTTGGTGGTGTTCAGCCTTTTGATTTTGTTGGTAGTCAACCTGAAAATGTTTTCCCTGATGGTTTTTTGGCAGAGACCATGTTCGAGGAGCCTCTGGCCAGCTCACTTCACCTGCCAGCTGCTCAACTCAGGCCGGTCTTTTTATTTTCTCCAAGTTTCAGGCTTACAAACGCAACCCGGCTATCCTCTTGTATCCCCACTCGGCCCTGCAGATCAGATTCCATAAACATCAGTGTCTCTGAGAGGGAGCGCTGACTCACCTTTGGTTAATGTTTTCTGACTGCAGTAAGTGGTGATGGGAGAGGTTGGTGGGTCTAAACTTGAGGGTTCATCCACTCATTGATTGCTCTGAAAACCTATAATCTGTAGAAAGCTAGAAAACACAATGAACTTTCTCACAACTGGGTCCAGAATGAAAAATTGTTCAAAAGGTAAAAAAAGAGATTACAGGTAAAGGAGCTCCCAGATTTCTGTTTGTTCTGTTTTTATATTTATTTTGGCTAAATATACCAGGGGATGTTCCGATTACCGTGTTTCTATAACAAATACAGGTACTTTAGTATTTTACTTACCAATACTGAGTACCATTACAGAGTACTTCCAGTGTTAGAACTTAAACATTACACAATTTAAAAACACTATATTTWTTTAGAACAAGGTGACTCTCCTTCCATATAGACCAACAGCTCCCACATTAAACAGTGTCAGTACCAGTAACAGGGCACTTTTTACAAGTACGAGTACTTGTGTAAATGCTGGTATAAGTACCTGAGACACGACTAAAATATACTGTATTGATGGGCAGATATTAAAAAAAAAACATTAGATTAGAAAACAAGTTTTATTTTGACCATGTAGATACTCTTAAACTTTGTTTCAGTCAACTTTCAGGGGTAAGTACCTGAGACACGACTAAAGTATACTGTATTGATGGGCAGATATTAAAAAAAAAACATTAGATTAGAAAACAAGTTTTATTTTGACCATGTAGATACTCTTAAACTTTGTTTCAGTCAACTTTCATAATTTTTTATAACTTTGATTAGAACCTTAAAACTTTTTTTAAATTTATTCTGTGAAAGCCGCTGCCACATTATATTTTTCTCTCGCAAATGTGATCATCCTGAAGCTGTTTTACAAGCAAAACTGAGCTAAATTTTATGGGATCGTATTGGCCTTATTTGTTGATATGTACTCATCATTACATTCCACCAAGGTTCTGACTGAACCTGATGAAACACAAGGTAGCTTCTGTTTCCAGCGATTTAAGGATGGATTTTTCACGAGAAATTTTGCCTTTTTAATAAAAAAAAAATTCAGTTACTTGTTTTGGGATTGTTTGAATAAATTCAGTGACTTACACTCCGGCTCCAGTCAAAGTTTGTGCGGAGCAGGATGTCTGCGGCTAAAAGAGACAGCACACCTTTCGAAGGTAAAGACATCCAGTTAAAGGTTTTGAAAAATGTGGAAAGAACCATGTGGATTGGTACAAAGAACCTTTTAGTGTAAGGAACAGTAAGACAGGCGTGACTCATTCATTTGACTATGCTCTGTAGGATATAAACAGGAATATGAATAGAATATTCTATATGCAGCTTAAATACCCGACATAACTGGACTTTTGCCTGAATATAAATATTGTCGGTTAATCACTGTGGTTTTAAATGTAGCCATTTTCTGGAAAATGAGCACTTTGTTTTTGCAAGGTTTTATTAACAACGTACAATAAAGTGCCTTTTGAGATATTTTTAACCCTACGCTTCGTGAAAATAAATCCAATGTATGGAAAACATGAAGCTGAAATGTTTTCGTCCACACGATATAATGTAGTTTGAACTGATCTTTACAGTCTTCATCCTTTTCTTCCCTTTTCAATCGTCCCTCACAACTTATTCTGCTTCTTCACTTCGACTGGAAATACTTTACAGTCGCACTCCTTTATGAGCCATTTTGCACTTTGCAAGCACTTTGGCTTCTTACAGATAAGGTGAGAGACAAGGCTTAGAGCTTCATAGGAGGTGTTTTACCCTGATAAGCCATACTGTGACTTGGTGAAAGATAAATGGACACCTTGTTCTTTCTTTTTTGTGATTTCTCTCTTCCTCACCGTCTCCCAGGGTTTTTCATCTTCCTCTGCCTCGACTCGGTAACCTTTAAGGTAGTCTAGGAAGGGAGGGGGATGTGGGGCAGCAGTGCAAGAAGAAAGGGAAAATGAAGAATGAAACATTAGCGGGACAGACGTGTTCTTAAAGCCGCATGTAAACAGTGCATGAACAAATATAGGAAGAAAAAAGAAACTTATGGCTAGTTTGGTTGTTGATCTGGCTTTACAAGTCCACAAAGAAACATAATTTGSTACAAAGTTTTACCACACTTTATGTAGTTTTTCAAAACATTTCAGACTCGAATTTTTGTGCAAATTTACTTTTTGCGTTTTTGCTTCTTTCACCATTAAATAACAACTTTTGGAGATTTTAACAGAAAGTTTCCATCGTGATAAATAGACATGTCTTTCCTCTCTAGTGTTCTCTCATCATGAATCTTAGTTCAGACAGTTCTCCTGTCTCTTTGCTCTCTTTCCACTTATCTTTTTATTCCTTATCTGTGTTTTTTGACGACTTTATGTAGGCCCAGAAGAAGCCCCCAGTGAAGATAAACGATCTCTCACAAATTGTTGCGGCGTTGAGTGTAATGAAGGAGGTGAAGCTGCTATCAATGCCTGTATTGATAAATGCAGTGGAAGCCGGTGGAAATGTTCTGCTTCCTTATTGATCTCTGATCCATTATGAGCTGTTAGTCTACGGCCGGGTGAACGATGGAGAATGGCCCATCCATCATAAGTCAACGCCCACGCCGCTTGGCAAACACTTCTGGCTCCTTCTTTCTGTTATCCCTCTTCCTCCTCCTCTTCGTCTGTGATCCTCCCACTCGCTTTGTCGTTGAGTAAAACAAAAACACACGGTGGGAAAGATAAAGCATGCAGTTTAGCTTGAATCTGACAGTTCTGCTCTGCAAGCAAAAAAACACTCTTTATAAATATTCATTTGTTTGTTACCAAGGAAAAAAAGCACATTTAATTGTCTAATAAATCACAAAAAATGCAGATTAATATTTTTTTGCTGTTGCTATTATGCAGAAATTGTGGTTGACTTTCTCTCAAAAACTATTCCGTCACAATTTATAATTATTGTGTTTATGGGTTTGGCTGTTATTTGGATTTCTGCATTGTCACTTGCCCGTAAGCGAAATGTTTTAGCTTATTTTTGTTTTTCTGCAAATATCATGACATATTTTGCATTTTTATTCACAGGACCTTTAGTTCTTTTTATTTAAATTCTCATGATTTTTATTGCTCAGACTGCGAGTTAATGTTCGCTGAGAAACTTTACATTCTTCTTATTTTTTATTCATCAGGGACAATGTAGTAAAACGTTGTGAACATGCATCTGATATTCTGCACAAACAGGTAGCAGTTTGCAACTTTATTCCCTGACTTGACTTTTCCAGGATATACTAATTAAACAYGTACAGAACCACAACAAATTGAGCAACATAAAACTACAATATAATCTTCAATAAGATCCTAGAAAAAAAACACCTAATACATTCCACACAATCCAGACAAAGCCTTTTCAAGACMCCCCCCCCCCCCCAGTCACTGCCAGCCAAAAGACAAGGTTCAATCATCTGCTATGTTTGCAGGAATGAATATCTTAATAATGTGTTGCAAAGAAGTAGACAAAAGCAATCAGATTTATGGAAACAAGGCCAGAAGACGCAACTGAAAGAATAGAACTTGCTTTGCCCGTTTAAATCTTTAGCATTTACAGCAAATTAGATGCTGCAATTAGTTTAATTTGTCTTACTGAATGACATCAGTATGTAATGAGAAAAGAAAGGAGCACACACAATGGATYCTGCTACAGGCAAAACAATCACATTTCTTCATGAATCCAAAGTAAAATACGTATTTTTTGGATTTGTTTAAATCACAAATAAGTGAATACAATTCAGCAACAAGGCAAAATTCTGTAATATATGTTACACACTTTCGACTATTTGTGTGATTGTAGAAAAAAGAGGTGAATCTTGGTACAGATTTAGTTAATATGATCCCTAAGTCAAATAAATGCAGCAAAACTGATGTTTTAGGACAAAAGTCACTATTTCATTTGGAAAAAAAGAAAATTTTTTCCTTTGAAAAAAAAAAAACACATTAAGCACTTTGTTCTACTCCTTTTGTTTCCTTGTGTTTGATTCTGTTTGTTCTGTTGTGCAGGTGACGGATCAGTCTGTGCGGGCCGTATCAGAGCACTGTCCCGAGCTGCAGTTCGTCGGCTTCATGGGATGCCCCGTGACCTCGCAGGGCGTCATCCATCTGACTGCGGTAGGCATCGCACCAGTTCTTGATTTACATTCAAATCCCTCTTGAGTTATCAGTGAATCTAAACACCCCAAAGTGAAGATAAAGTGCTTCCTGTAGCTTAAGTTAAAAGACAKAATTCTTGCCTTAATTATTTGTTTTGGTAAATGTCAGCTGAAGTTCTTGCGTGACCACAGTTATTTTAGTCTAATCCTGTTACTGTAGGCCAGTCAACATGTTACTGCAGGTTATGCATCGTCTCCAGGGGGCATATTTGATTTTTTTTTTTTTTTTGGAAGGGGGAAATTTAGGAACTCGCTGCGTGTTTTTATCTCAAACTTAGTTTTCAAGTTATTTTGTGTTAACTTTTAAATCTCATGAAAGCCTAATGAGAGGAATCCTAATAATACGCTGCTGTTTTTGACTACACCCTGCTGTTTGGATATTACCATGTTAATGAGCTGTGCTCCGTGCTTAAAGCCGTTCCATGCCATGTACCGTAAACACGGGCACACATGCACTCATGGTGTGATTGCTTAAAGTGAATTCACCAGGAAGTACCTAACCTTGTTTTACCTTCTCATTTATTTCTTATTCCCAACATCAGGAACATTTAAAGTGTGTGCGTGTGTGTTGTGCCCACACCCATGTGTACTTGTGTAATACAATTCGATTTGTGTTTGATGCACTTGGGTGTACTCTTTAGTGTGCACACACCTCTGTGGACCTGCAAGCTCCCATTTCTCCTCAAACGCAATTACAGTTGTGTTAATAGGACTGAGGCACCCGATGCTGCGCTGCATTATTAGATTAAACAGCAGATTAATTTGTGCTCATAGTTTTGGCCCCCTATCATCTCTGCAGCCTCTGCTGACCTTGGCCATGGTTTTGTAGACAGACCGTAATGAAGCCAGCCAGTCATAACAGCATTAGCATTTGTGAAGGTGGACGCAAACACACGAACACACACACACACACTATCTATCACACTCATTATTATTTATGGCAATATTAACCTAGGTGAAGTTTTAGGAGTTCAGATGAACTAGTTCATAATTCCAGTCATTTCAGTTTTTTTTCTCTAAGAAAGAGGACTAAAATTAGAAAAAAAAACAGTACCATATGTTTTGGGTTTATCTCTCATTTTAAGTAAATTATTTAACTTCAGGTCTGTTAAAAAACACACACACATCAAATGAACTTTTTTTGACTTGACCCTTAAATTTGAAAAATATTTCAGTCAAAAGATTTTTTTTTCACTTTAACCCATGCAAAAACCTCCGCCYATATTACAAACTCTGCCAATCATGGTGCGGACATGCCCTGCCTACATCGAAGAACTTTGCTAATCATGTTTACGACAGACTCCGCCCACACAGCCAATAAACTCCCCCATGTACTGCAGAGACCCCAACTTGAGAATTTCACCTATCAAACAATGTAACATTATTTGTATTTATATCTGGGAACAGGTTCTTTAAGAGGACCCACTCYCTAGATCACACAAAATCTGTACCTTAAAAAATAAACAAAATCTTCCTTTACTGTCTTTAAAAAATTMTTTTAAAACTTGTTTTTGTATCCCAACTTCTCTTAGCAGCAGAACTGGATGTAGATAGTTTATTCTTCTTGAACATTCAGGCTTAAAAAGAAACTAATGATGGCTTAAAAAGACAGCAGCTGGCAGCTTCATTTGCTGAAAGAGTTAGAATTTCTGGAACTAGATAATAGATTTTTTTTGGAGAGATTAAAACCACTATTTTCTAAAATCTAAAGTAGCTTCAACATTTAACTGCTTAAAAAACAGATGATACTAAGTCTAAATTATTATATTGCTCATGTAAAAAGGTTCAAAGAGTCCTTTTACAAAAGTTTTACATTTCTATACTGCAATTTGCCTGAAATGACTAAATTATTTTCTGCAAATTGCCAATTTTATGCCTAATCCAGAATTTAACTGCTTCTATTTTTGCTGCCTAAATATTGATTTGTAGTTTTTGTTTTTAAATGCATTTTTTCACTATAGTTACAAGAATGTATGTGCCTTAAATTAGCTAAATAACTTATCTAAAGATGTTGACTCAAGTTCTTTTTCTTGCAGTCTAAATGAAAAGTTCTGCAATCCATTTCTTTATTTCTTGGATTCTTATAACTATTTTGTAAACTTTTTTTCTGTTTATCTGTTTACCTCTCTGTCTCCTCGTCCTCCTCCAACTCCCTCTTTTTCGATCTCTTTATAATCTCTGACAGCAATTATCTTGTTTAAGAGTTGATTCCTCCTCTCATTGATTCCCACTTGGTCTCATCAAGTGTCGATTTAAAATCATATTCTTGCTTTTAAAATCGTTGCATTTCTGATGACTCTACGGACCCGCCTGCAGTTCCAGGACTGCGGCGCTGCTCTCTTGTTCGATTATTACACACTCCCCTCCCGCTTCTTTTTCTTTTCCTAACTGAGCCCTGTCTATGATAATCTTACCGATCCACACATTTTCTACTTGCATAAGAGCAGAAAATAGTTAAAAATATCCACTACTTTTATTTACTTCTCTTATATAACTCTCTCATTTCGCTTTTTATTGACTTTCCTCAAATTAGGATATGAAGAAGTCTATTAGAATTGTATTTTTTTCTTAAATGAAAGGAGCTGATGTTAGAAATTGGCCACCAGTTGCGATATGTTTGATGCAGATGAGCTGTAGAGCTGTCATTTTTGTTCAGCTGATGGATTTGCAGTGTTATAGTCCTATAGGAGCTCACTTGTCCCTCTGTGTTGCACAACACAACTCAATATTTGCAGCTAAGCAATCTGATAAATCATCTAAGTAATGACTAAAAAGCAAAATGATCATTCTGCTGGCTCAGTGTGTGAAGCCRGCTAATTGAGAACAAGCCTTGTAACAGTTTCCTCACTGTTCCAAACTAAACACAACATGCAGCTTCCAGCGTCAGAACAAAAGCTGAGGATTTTTGTCAGAACATATGCTTTTTATGTGGTCTTGTGYGTAAGTGGGACAGGGATTTACTGTAAATTTTTATTTATGGGTGGTTTTTAGATGGAAGCTCTTTTTTTTTGCCCCTAAACTCTTGACATAAATAACAGTTTTATTGATGAGGCTTGTCACATCRTGGAGCTGCGTAATAGATACAGAACATCTTGAGAGGGAGGCCTTGTGGGTGTCCCAGAGCCTCCAGTGKTTTTTGGTGGTCGCCTCTCAGCACAAGAGAAATGGAAACCAGGGTCTACCACAGCAGGCAGCATCAGATGCAGGCCGTGCAAAGATGCCCCTGAGACGATCCAAAACCGTAACGGCAGAGTGTGAGATAAAGAAAGGCACAAGATGCACAGGACRCCATAACCAAATAGCTGGAACGGGAATGGGCAACTTAATTTTTTTRTTGACACATAGGGCCTCATGGCGTTGCACACTTACCCAAAAGTAATAAAACTYTCCTTTTTAAAAGTGTTTATATACATGTTTATTAAACCAACATACACTGCAGCAACTTAAAGGAGACCAATTATGGGTCCTAGAAATGTTTATGGTATGTCTGTGGGCTATCCAGACCATGTTCATTCAATTTAATGCACAAAATAATTCTCAGATAATAAAATTTCCTATTTTCTTGCTCTGCCTGCTCTGACTTCCATTCAGAACGAGCTGTTTATGTTAATGAGCTCTGTTGGTAACGCCCTCCAAAAAATCCGTTGACATTAACTCCGCCCTCCAAAGCCAGCATTTACGTTAGCATGGCTAATAATAGCAGAAGCTCCGTTGTACAACCATAGGAGACCCAGAGGCAGAGTCGTGGTCACAGCTTCTTTTTTTTTTCTCCCCCTCCTCTGCTCTGCGCTCACTCTGCATGCTGTTACCAGAGCAGGGAGCAGCAGCGGTCAAAATACCTCAGAAACTCGAACAAATAGGCTTTAACAAGGCTTTAATAAGTTAAACAATAGAGGTACATGAAAAWACATGTTCATAATGAATGAAAATAAATAATTAAATTGTGTCCATGCCAGTCTCGAACTTTGGTCTCCCGTTCTCTGGTCCAGCACTCTACTCATTGCCCTATTGGAGGCTTGTTGTGAAATGAGCTGTGTATTGCACAACAACAACCGTGACAGCTTTTTAGACTGAGGAGGTGGAGCTTCACCCGGGGGTTGCTAGGTAAGGGGCTGAACGCAGGTGGGTTCTCGTACGGCTTGTGACATCACAAAATGTAGGAAGTACAAAACTTGTCGTTAATATACATTAAAAATACATTTACTTACAGTAAATATGCCCCTGGGTGCATATTTTTGGTCCTAGGAATGTTTTTTAAGAAGTACATACCCWAAGTTGAGTAAAAAAGGCTTTAAAAAGTGAATTTTACATAATAGGTCCCCTTTAACATATTTCATGCTCAAATGCATGCATAAAAGTGGTACTCTTTTTATAAATATCAGTACAAAATCCAAACTTTAAGGACAGCTGTCCTACTAAAAGATGGAGATTATGTTTTACGTGTCCATCTTTAAAATAATGATTTTATTTAAGTTTACGACAATACAGTTATTTCTGTATATACATCTGCTTCTCTGGCAGTCTGTGTTGCTCTGCTTTGAAAAGATGAGGAACACCAGCAGAGTCATCATGCAACTATTTTAAGTGTTGCAACCTGTTTTTTGCCCTATATATATTTCCTCCTCCTGCTTTCTGTATTCATCTCTTTCACTCATGTGGTTTGTGAGTGTTTTTAGTCTTTCTTGCTCTCTCTCTCACACACACACGTACACACTCTCCCGCTCTGTCTTTCCATCTTCTTGTCAAGCTGCTCTTTTCTTCTGGTTGTGATTAAGCCCAAGGTCGCCTCTATCAGAGAGCCAGTGTTAGTGAGCGGCTCTTCGGTGCCAGAGAGCCTTCAGTCCTCCAGCTTTAGATGTCCCAGTGATGGCTTCTCCTTCGCTTGTCATGCCTACCCACAATGCCCCTCCTCGAGCATCCAGCCTATCGCTGCCCTTAGACACTTTGGGCCTCAGTCAGGCTTTTTTATGTGTGTGAAAGTTCCCACCCTTGGGAGAAAGGCCAGAGACATAACAAATGGAGAGACTGTTGAAGCATGTGTCAGAGATGAAAAGAGGTATATTTGGAGGCTGTAATAGCTACGTGTTGTCTCTCTGATGTGCAGAACTTGGATGTTTCTGGTCTTAATTTGGGGCCGTGTAGATTAATTCAGCCGTGCTGCTCCAGTGGTTTTGTTGTTCTTCTTGAGGGGAAAAAAATGGGACCTTTGGTAAATGCTCTGTGAATTTGACAGAATTGGACCGTGGGCAATACCTTATTCTCTCCTTGTGTGTTTATGAGCAAATAAAACAGTCTGGTTCATGACAGGGAGAATGTTTAATTTCATAATCAAAATCACATGCTTTATCTGTCCTCGGTGTAGCACATTGTGTACTTTAGAACAKCACATTTTGGATTCAAATTAGGCTCCGAATCACTGAAAAGAATGGAAAACCAGGAATGAATCACTTTTGATATTTTCTGCTTTTTGTTGCCATGAACATGTCAGCGAAAGTAATAAAACATGAAAGGTTAAGAAGCCTTTTTATTATTTTTTTTCTTACCACTGTCACCTTCACACCGTTCACTCCACTGCTTCCACCCCACGCTGGGAGAGTGGTGTCTGGCTTTGCTGCAGTCTGCTGGTCCCTTATCTCCACCTCCTGACTGGAGCAGAAAAAAAAATACATAATCACAGTGCCCTGTGTCAAACTGATAACCCCCCCCCCAACACAAACTAAGAAGAATGCATGTGCGTCTTATCCTATGTACTGACGTGTGTGTGGCTGTATACATGTGTGTTGTGTCTCTGAGGTGGTAGAGGGGATAAAGGGCAGCGGATGGGGATTTGAAGGAAGAAAGGTAATGGGGTTGTGGGGGTCGCACAATGAGCCCAAATTGTAATAATAATTTTCTTGACTGCTGTATAGAGAAGATTGGGGGATTTATGAATATAATGAGCAGAACAGAGCCTAAGGATGATGTGTGTCTCATGCAAGAGTAATTGAAGAATAATTCATTTGGCTGTGAGACTTTTAACCCAGAGACAGACAGAGGCGGAGAGGTTTTCTGACCTCTGGAGGGAGGGATATCATGTCTCATTACCGGCCCCAACTATTGTCACTGTGCTGTGACTGTCATCCAGCGCTGTCACAGYGCTTTCTACATTCCTGTACGGACATTTGGCTCAGTGCACCGTAAAAGGAACCGACTCCTTCCATCTCCTTGAGCCTTTTCTCACCACTGAGTTTGTTATCAAGACCGGCACATGCTGGATTAGTGACTGAAAGAGAACATAAAAGGGGGGGATGAAAAGGTGGGGGGGGGGACTAAGAAGTAGACGGTAGATGAGCACAGAAAAGATGAAGAGGAGTTGACCACTCATGCACAACACACACAAACAGGGATCAGCGCACTGCTCCTTGACTGATCTTTACAATTTATTTGCAACATCAGATCTATAGTCTTTTAGTTTTCAGACACCGTTCTTATTTAAAATATTCATATAATTTGGTCTGCTCAGGGTTTTTTTTTGGTCTTTGTGCATCTGGCTGGAAGGGGGCGTACAGGATTAAGGCTTGCCAAGACTGGATTGTCTTGACACACCTTCCTCCTGTCTGGCATGTTCCAGTTTTTTTCGGGGTTAGGGTTGGTTTATGCATGAGTGCACACTGGTGCTCTCCTGGTCTCACCTCTGCCATTCGTCCCTCCTCCTTGCCCCTGCCCCCATCCCGTCTGACACTGTCCTCCAACACATACAGACAACCGAGAAGACGCCTCAAAGACACTTTGTGACTTTGGCTTCTTGCTGAGGACTTTGAATGCACTTCAAAGCAACTGACTGAAATTTTCTCTGGCTGCTTTTCAACCTCTTAGATCGGTTTTCTGCTGATCTTTCTTGATCTTTATCTAAAAGCAGGATAGTTTTACTTAAAGTCTTTCTTCTGTTTAGGAATCGCATTTGGAAGCATGGGCCTTTTCTGTCTATCCTATCGTAAAAAGCAATTTTGTTCCCGACCAAACTCACGTATTGAATGTCGAACTGGAAGTGGGTATAATTTTACCTCTGCAATAAAACAAGCACCTCATATTTTCCAAATCCAAAATGTTGGTTATTTCGCTTTTAAACAATGCTTGTTCTGTTCCTGCTTTTTATGATGCCACGTAGCTCCTCGTGAGGTGGAGACGTTGACGCTGATGGACAGCTACAGCCATGAACTCGTGTTATTTTGCACCGCCGCTCGAAGCCATGACATCATATCCTCCGCACGAGGTCTACAAGGCGGCCGCTTCCTGCTTGGCGTTGAGTAAATTTATATAGTAATATCAGAGGTAGTTATTGCAGGGCGCACGCAGGAACCGTCACTGTGTAATAAATAAACCTTTCTGCGTAAATATTAGAGACTAGTTTGTGCCTGGCTGAAGGATGACATGTCTTCCTAACAAACAGCTTTGCTTTTTATTCCCCCTCATTTTGAGTAGCGGTCTTGATCTGACCTCTGACTCCATCCCTTGTTTGTCCCGTTTGAGAGACATTTTTAATTAAAGCATCGAACATCTGAACGGCTCGGAGCTCAGAGGGCTCGTCTCCATGTGTGAACTGAATTAAGCAACCGCTTTTATGAACATTTGTGTCGCCGCACTTTTATCTCTGATGAAAACCGTTTTTGTTCAGCCCGTGTCAGATGTGAAGTGTTTGCCTTTTCTTATCTGTAACGTGTTTGTCCCTCACATTGAACAGATGAGATGAAATGATACCGGAATCAGAGTTATTTTGTTCGTTAAGATTCACATTCAGGATTATATGAAGTCTTTTTGTAAGTTAATTTTATTCTTTCGCCTTTTTTAAGGTAAATCTGAGCTTTAAACATAGTAAAAACTGTATTGGAATGGATTATTTAATTTAAGTTGAATGTTATTCAATAAAAAAAAATTCATTTCTTCCAAACAGGCCCATGCTTATTGTTCAGATATTTTGTGAAATGAAAGTTGAACTTTAACAATGTAAAACACCTTTAATTTATGTACGATAGCTTTGGTAAAAATGATAAAAACCCAAAAAACAGATTAAGCATGTGCTGAACATAAATCTACCCGTTTACGTGCATATTTTAAATGTCTTACACTTTGTAGTTATTTAAAAATTATTCATTTTATTACAGTCGTTGGACAAATTTTAAGTGCCTCAAAGTTTGTTTAAAATGCATAAATGTATTAAAGATATCAAAAAAGCAAACAAAAAAGTAATGAAATTAGTAAAAGTTTAAATGTTATTTTCTTTACATTGTATTTCACAGTTGAAGAAAAAAATTTCAACACAATAAATAAATTGACATCTTTTAGACTTGCTGTTTTTATGCCTGTGAAAACAATAATCATGAAATCGAAGTTCTCGTTATTTTCTGTGCTGTGTGTGTGTGTGTGTGTGTGTGTGTGTGTGTGCGTGTGTGTGTGTGTGTGTGTGAGGAGTAGATGACACACTCGCCTAAGAGCAGCTGGATTTTGCAAGTTTCACTGGTTTTATGAACGGCTTGAATAATGACCCGGGTGAAGCTGCCAACTCAGTGGAGATGAGACATACTCTGCCTGGTTACAGATTTCAGCCAACGAGACAAAAAAACAACACTGAAATCCTCTCGTTTCACTTACTTTTTCACCCTGACTTTCTTTCTTCTCCCTGGTTCTGTTTCTTCACCTGATTTCTCTTATTTTTTCTTACTTTCCCCCTCTTTTTGACCATTTAACATTTTTATTTCTCATTATGTTACCTCTTGTTTATTGTTGTAAAAATGCCACACTATTAGGAAAAAAAGTAAATATAATTACATGCACGACAACCAAAACTGCCACTTTTGCCTGTCACATTTAGGAAGCGTGACTAATTACTGCTATTTGTGACTTTTTTTTCACTTCAGGATTTTTTCCCCCCCTTCCGTTTTACAGACGTCTGTTAAATTGGGGAATTTATTTTCCTGCAGCGGTTTTTCACAGATGGATACACAAAGTTAGAGCCGTGACTGCGCCTCTCCCCCTTTTTCATGTAGACATCTGCTAAATTTTGGGGGATTTTTTTCTTCTTTATTTTTTTCCTCCAACCTAGCTACACACTCAGCCAATCCAAACTCTCACTGCTTGGCCTGATTTCTCATTGGTTACCCACATCAATGAAGCACTCTTCATTGGCTGTAGTAGTTTTTCTCTTTTCTCTTTTAGCAGAGATAAGCAGTTTTAAAGATTTGGAGAACAAATACTACGTTTGATGTGGAGGTTTTGAAATTTCACTCCAGGGATATTAATCCTAAATATTAAATGGACAAATAGACGTATGTGTGCGACAGTGATTTTTGTGGAAATTTTTTTAAGGATGTGCGACTTCACGTCAAAGTATTGCAAAACCCTTTGCTTTTAAACCTAAAGTTGTCCAAACCCTTAAGCCCAAAATAAGTGGAACTTGCTATTTGATCTTTAAAGGTGGTGAGCTCGTTTTATGAAAGAGTGTAAACTTATTTATGCCCCAACAAAATAAGCAATAGGAGTGTACTCACACATCCACACTTAGAGATGCACTCTTTGGTCGGCCTTCTTTTAAATAAATAATTTAGCACTTCGATCCGACCACAGGGGCACATGACAGTTAGCCTGTGTGTTTTTGTGCACATACATTACCAGCTGCTTATTTCAGCAAACATCTGTGTTGATAACGTCTAAGAATTTTTTTTCTTCTTTTGTTGTTTAGTACGTCAGATTTAGCAGTTCTTGATCCATCTTTTTTACACACACTTTTATGTGTGTTTAATTTTTATTGCTTCATATCTTCAGAGTAGTTTAGTACGTGTTGCAAAACAAAAAATATCTATTTCATGTTTATTTTATGCCTAAGGAGACTTTTATAACAGGAGGTTTGAGTTCAACTTTCTCTGAGGAGAAACAAACAAGCCACAGGCTTTGTGAGAACAGAGACGGTTTTGAAAGCTTTTTTTTTTTTTCATATTATTACCTTCGGTGCCTTGCAGCACCTTACACACTTATCATGTTTGTTTGCAGCCTGTGTGTTTTGAACCTTAGTGGGGGCTGGGGAAGAGTGTTTACATGTGTGCTTACTTCACACGGTGAGTTGTGGTCCTCGTCCTTTCCCCCCATGTGTCCTCACGCTGGTCCGTATATGTCACGCCTATGGAGCCAACAACAGGGCTCAGTGATCTTAACACCGACTCTAAGCTTGTTTTCTCTTTAGCCTCGGACATGACATTTACCTTTTATGCCTCCCTGGCGGCTGGCTTGAATATCACACCTCTCTTATCTCGCCTCCCTCGTGCGAGCGTGCTTGTGTGTGTTGTGCACCTTTTCCTTGAATAGTTATGAGTATGTATCAGAGTGTTCACCTCTTCTGTCTGCCGAGGAGCCGTCGTTGCGCGGGAATGCTTGTCGAACAGTGTGGGTTTCTGTCAGATTTTGACTTGAGGATTAATCTGAACCCCCTCTTTCAAGATATTCAGATCGGGAAAGGGGGGGATTATTGGAAGTCAAAGAGATGAAAGGAGGAAAGAAAAGCGAACGCTGTTACTTTCTCATAACCYTTCACAACAGGGAGGCCAATGCAGGGTGGTAAAGAAAAACTGCAATTTTGTAGAATTTATCGGGTCTGGTTTTATGCTGCACTTCCACTGTTTTCAGAACGTGTTTATTCAGCACACAGGGAAACATCAAAACCCTCCATGTAAAGCAGCACGCTTGATACAATAAATCCTGTTAAAATGTCTTTGCTGCATATTAGTGAAATAACTGAACATAAAGAGGAACACAGCTTTATATTTGGTTTGCTAATTCTGCACAAGTTTATGTTAGTGTGACTTGTTGAAATTTTTTTTGTAAATGTTGGTATGTGTCGGTTCTTTTAGCTGCAGAACCTGACTGTCCTGGATCTGCGGCACATTTCTGAGCTGAACAACGAGACGGTGATGGAGGTGGTGAGAAAATGCCGSAAACTCAGCTCCCTCAACCTCTGTCTCAACTGGAGCATCAACGAYCGGTAAGTGAAGTTCATTTGTTAAGCTAACTGCTGCTTTGGTACCACATTGTTGGGGACTGACTAAACACTGAACATCTGCTCGAATTAGAAGACGACAAAAAGGAAAAAAAAATGCAAAGAGAGTAGGCATTTAAAAAAAACAGCAAAGTTTGCAACAAGGCTGTGCATCAGAGCAGGTTTTATAACAGTTCTTCTATGTTCTAATAGAAATTTATGGCCTCAAAGAGGCAAATCAAGTGCTGAAGTGTGAGTTTCATAAAAATTTATTTCCAAGAATTTTCACAAGATTTTCAGAAAACGTAATAAAATATGGAATGTAATCC